GGGTTACATCTTGTTACCTATAAAGCTCAGTTCAGACCAAAGATTTGCGATGAGACAAAACCGTTTTAGAACGTTGCAGAGAAAAGTTCCGGTCTCAGCTCATCAAAAACCGGCTGATAAGCCTTGTTTCCACCAAGCACTCCACTATGGTACAGTTCAGATTGGTACTCTGTTTTTCTGTTTCCACTGTGAAAAGTTGTGGATGGTACCAATAGAACCTTCCTTACCGTCTTCATTTTTGGTAACCCCTCTGGTGGCGTACCTAGCACACAGATCTAGTACTAAAAGGCGGAGCTAGAAACACTGCAATCCACTGACTGGTTAATAGCGGATGGTTACTCTTGCTCAGGGCTATAAAATGAAAGGATGTTTTGCTGCCTCTTGCAGCAGCTGTAGACTGAGAAAACATAATAACTCACTGGGCTGACTGCCGACAACTTTTAAGGTGGAACATTTACTTGTAATGTTACTCAATGCATGAGCTGATGACGTTAGTCCATCAGCTTACGCTTAAAGCTTAAATTTCAATATGACAATTTTGACCATTCCATTAGTTTTTTTTGTCTCTCTTGGATGACTTACACATTTAGTAATGACTGTATCTCAAGTGATTAAAGATATATATTATTCTTACCAGATGATATATGAACTGCATATATTCTTATCCTCATTTGGAGGAAAAAAACATTGTGGAGCGATGTTTCTATGGCAACACTAAACCCCTGTGCTTACCTAACTGTGCATTCACACCAAAAGCTTCATGAGCGCAAGCAGTTGCTCAGGTCGCTGGCATAGCGCTGCCTGGCAGCTCTGGCAGGGCTTGCAGAAGGCTGCCAAGGGGCGGGGCTTTCAAGCTGCGCTGCAGAAGATCTCTTTCTTTCTTTCTTTCTTTCTTTCTTTCTTTCACTGTTCCGCCTTGAGAATATTCACGGTCTGCAATAGGCTGCTGCTTCGCCGCCGGTGCTGCTCATTTGCATAAAGTTGAGCTTCTCTCAACTTCACAGTGACGCTCCGGTCGCTGGCATCGCGCTGCTTGCTGCCACCGACACTCCAGACGCCCTTTGTAGCAAGCATACATTGAAAATGAATGGCTGCCGGCCGCTTATGATGCTCATGACGCTTTTGGTGTGAATGCACAATAAGAAGGACTAAATACACAAACCTGCTATTTTTAAATATCCCATCGAGAGACACTCTCACTGCAGTCTGTTCTATTTTGTTCTGAAAATGTTGGCATGCAACCTTGTTCTGTGGACAATAAAGGAGGTGCAGACCTCCCCCTGTGTCACCGTCCATTCATCCATCCATTTTCATCTGCTTATCCAGTGCCGGGTTGTAGGGGCATCAGGCTGAGCAAAGCACCCCAGACATCCCTCTCCCCGGCAACGCTTTCCAGCTCCTCCTGGGGGACCCCAAGGTGTTCCCAGGCCAGACAAGATATGTAATCCCTCCAGCGTGTTCTGGGCCTGCCCCGGGGCCTCCTACCAGTGGGACGTGCCCGGGACACCTCCAGCGGGAGGCGCCCAGGAGGCATCATAGTAAGATGCCCAAACCACCTCAACTGACCCCTTTCAACGCGAAGGAGCAGTGGCTCTACTCCGGACTCCCTCTGGATGACCGAGCTCCTCACCCTATCTCTAGGGTGAGGAGCTACCCCACGGAGGAAACTGCGATCTCATTCTTTCGGTCACTACCTAGAGTTTATGACCATAGGTGAGGGTTGGGACGTAGATGGACCAGTAAATCGAAAGCTTTGCTTTCCGGCTCAGCTCCCTCTTCACCATGACGGACCGATGCAGCGACCACATCACTGCAGAAGCCGCGCCGACCCGCTGATCCATCTCACACTCCATTCTACCCTCACTTGTGAACAAGACCCCAAGATACTTGAACTCCCTCACTTGAGGCAGTAACTCTCTCCCAACATGGAGAGGGCAATCCACCGGTTTCCGACAGAGGACCATGGCCTCAGACTTGGAGGTGCTGACTCTCATCCCAACTGCTTCACATTCGGCTGCAAAACGCCCCAGTGCATGCTGGAGGTCATGGTGTGATGGAGTCAACAGAACCACATCATCTGCGAAAAGCAGAGATGCAATTCTGAGGTCCCCAAACCGGATCCCCTGTGTCACCGGTGATGAGGAAATACAGCAAATGCTGGACAAAGCAGTGAGTGACAACAACCACCCCTGCATTAAAGAGAACTGTTCATGGTAGACACACTGAACAGACCTGGGGTCTACTTAACATGTCTGAAGGGTTACTTTTGGTTCCAAAGGTACTATACCAAGAGTGTTTGGTGAAAACGGGGCTATGGTGTCATCTGTAAAGGCCAAAACACACCGGCACTGTACGACACGCGTCAAAACAGCTGCCCCCATTATTTTCTATTTACAAACCCACACCGGCGGCGGCTCGACGCGCGTTGATGTGCTGCGCCGCGGCACTTTACGCTATTGTCCTATTTTTCCAGCGTCGCCGCCCTTGAAAAAGCGCTATTTTGTACTTCCCAGCTCCCGCGGACTGGAGTGTGCAATAGAAATCCGGTTGACGCCCCACAGCGCGACGCTTTTTGTGTGTGTTGGGGGCAGCACTTGACTTGCGTCAATGACGCCGCCGTCATATGATGCCGCCGGTGTGTTTTGGCCTTAACTCAACTGGTCACTTGCCAGCAGCTGGTTTTAGATCACAAAGCATGTCATCTGTTTCAACAGCCAATCGGCTTGTAGTGAGGTCCACTGGTCAGGTCAAAATAGCCGCAGACAGTATTTTTGCTTGCTGCAGAGGGTGCTCCGTCCCCGCTGAGCCCTCTGTTCCATCCTCAAGGTGCGCTGGTGTTGGACGGTGGGTCACTGCTGCTGCCTACTGTATGTGCTTATGCCCTGCCCACACACACATTCTCATTGACTGATTAATTGGTGCTGGTTATTATTGTGTAATATTATTGTTATTATTGTGGCGTACTGATTATTAAAACAGTCCATCTGATGCTCATTTTGTTTCTGTTTTTTGCCGTTTCATCACTACTACAAATGTAACTGTAGCCAGTATCTTAGTATCGCTATTTTCATTCATATTTTAATAAGCTACAAATTATATTCAGCCACAAAATAAGCCTGCAAAGCTGGAAATCAGAACCGGAGTACAGAGAGTTGTTGCATAGAGATGATACACCGTCTCATCCAGATGCACTGGTGTGAACCAACAGGTTTTTAGAACACAGCAGAACGGTGCATTGCAAACTGTTGCCTGTTTTCAATCACAAATTTTGGTCTGAATTGGGCTTAAGGTGATCACATATTGATGCATAATAAATAATAAACCAGATTATTGCTACATTTGGCCTCATATTTATTCACTTCAGTGTTGCGTTGTATCACGGTTCAAATAACCGTCACGTTGGTGACGGTTGTCTTGGACTGGAGGTGGGCGTTGTAGGGGCTTGTCGTGTAGGCTGCAAATGCAGTGTGGATGCAACTATACATGTCTCAGTTGTTTTGGTGACAGCGTGCTAATGCTCATTAATGTACTTATTTTATGACAAGGTGGACAAAGTGTTGCATGACCATCCATGGTTTGGGACTATGGAAGTAGACGTGTTGAATTCTGCTCACAGCAATATCTTAAGCTGTACCGTCACAATTGCTAATGTGACTAGCAAGCATGTCAGCGAAAGTGTGGTCATAATAACATTGCGTGGGGTCCTTAAATTTCTAGCATAAGTGACATGGGCAGTAATAAAATCTGAATGTGCGGTCAGCTGGAGACGCATGATGGCGATGTGCCTCTGCTGTTCACTTGTGTTCCGACAACTGAAATTTATGTTAATACTAGGTGAAACATGCTGAACAACATGAAATCTTTGAAATATCAGCCCTACCAATGCCATCTGCAGTGGAGTTATAGAAGCTGTGATAGTAAAAGTCACCTGTACAGCTGCATCAATGTCATTCAAATTCACTGCTATTTTTAAGCCATTGTTCTGGTGCATTTTGGATGGATGTAGTCCTGTAGCAATGACTAAGAAAATGACTTCTTCATCAGGAATTCTGCTTAGAAAACTCTGATTTGTAAATTGTGTCTCTAACCAGCAGAAACAGCGGCCAGTGAGCTCAGCACCAGGCCTGCTTCAGTCACTGAATACTTCTTTTCAGTTGTCATCAAGTTTTTTTCTGGACAAGCAGGGAGGAAAATGGAACTTAAAGCAGGAATTAAATGAATATGATTCATGATGGGACAATCAACAAGCTAGTGTGAGCTGCTGCTAGCAAAGGTATCTTGCTCACCCTATTAAAAGAAAGGTACTTGTATTATTATCAGTTTGATCATTTATGATAACATTTGATAAAAACTAAATTATTTGGTGCATGGACGGGGAGAGCACAACTTTTTCTGGCTTCAGCATGAGGAGTTGAGTGAAGTTCTAATAATCTTGGAGTCACCAAAATATTTCTGGGATGGCTGATGTTTTAAGTTTAATGCTGTCAGACCCTCTAAAGGCCAATTTCCACCAGATGCGTGTTGGTTGCGTCTGCGCTCCGGCTCGGCAGCGGAGCCGATAGGATTCCATTCTAGTCAATGTGTGTGTTTCCACCAGCTGCGGCTGTGCTGCGTTCCGGCTCAGTCTCAGCTCCAGCACTCTGGAGCCCTCCGCAACAGATACGCAGGACTTCTATTTTTGCCGGACGCCGGAGCACAACACAGCAATTCAGCACAGAGCAGATCGTGCGGGGCAGGAAGTCGTGCACAGAGACACAATAAAACATCCGGTTAATTTTCAAAATAAAGTACATAGTGTTCACGGCGGATCATATTTCCCTGCACTACACCTTAAAAACTACATAATGGGCAGAGGCAGGCCTGAAGTCAACAGGTCAGAGGTTTTCAGACGTCATTTCACCCCGTGAACACCATGGACGAGGAGATATTAATCATGGCACTGCACCGAGATGTCTTCCGGCGGAGCTGCACTGCACCGCACAACAAACGCAGCCGGTGGGTATTGATGGACGGCGGAGCAAGCAGCGGATAACCAGCACTGCCGTTCTGCAACGGACACGCATCCAGTGGAAATCTGGCGTAATGTTCCTGTGTCAGAGGGGAGCAACTCCTCAGTCCTGTTGCTCACAGCCTGAATGCACAGCAATGAATTATCAGCCCTCAATATGGATAGTTTGGGTAATATTTGTGTCATGTAAAACTTTTTTCTGTACAGATCAACATGGTAAAGTCAAATATGGTTCTGTTGCAGTATACCTAGTCTATGCTTCCAGTCCTGCCACTGAAGCGGTGGATCCTAGGCTAGGCTGGTGGTGGAGGTGAGCTGACAATTCACTAACTGAAAATGTAAGACTTGAGTGAAATACAACTGAACAGTTTCACTTAATGGAGAACTGTACCACAGAGAGTGTGTGCATGCTGTTAGGAATGGACAGAGACAAAGGCTCAGGACCAGGCTAAACAAAGGCTGGGCTGGAAGGATGGCAGAATGTCCAGAGTCGGGTCAGATAGTGATGCAGTGCTGTCGCAGTTTAGCCACAAGGAACTCGTGGGTTAAATTATGTCTTGTGATTATTCCAACAATCTGAAAGAGATGGCAGATAATAATAAAAAAAGAGTTAGGCCAGACACAACATAAGTCACGGCATGTAAGACAACAACACAACGTTCTCATCGGGGGTTTTCCCTTGTATGTCATTATCAAAACACTGGGCCTCATTTTCAAGTATCTTCTTAAGGTTTTTTTTTCCCCTTATATTTGCTCTGAAGAACGGTCCTGAGGAAAGGTCCTGAGGAAAGTCTTTATTGAAAGCATGTGGCAGTTGATCCTAATTAGCATAGGGAAATGCCCTGTAATCCCCTATAACAGGGCATGAGACTGCACACCTGAAGAAGTAGAGAAAAAAGTACCAGAAGAAGAACAACAACATGACAAACTGTATTTTGTGATATTGGGCTTAATGAATAAAACTGAATTGAACTGAAAAAAGCTGAGAGGATTAAGTCAAGAATGCCTCAATTAAAGTCTAATGAGGGTGGAGCACTGGACTCTAAACATTTAAAAAACTAAAAGTTTTGAAGTTAAGGGCCTTCTGCAGGGAGGGAACACCAAACAACCTGCCATATTTAAAGGAGCTATATATAAGAAATATAAAGCAAATAGTCATAAAATCCTCCTAATATGTCACAGAGACTAAGGAATAATGTTCATATAACAAACTGATCTCGCTGACAACAATAGTACAGCCAGAATATTCGCATTAAAAAAAAACTTTACGGTCCGCAAATCATGTTTATGTTTTGAATTTGTGTTTTGGCCTGTTGCGCCACCCACCGCCGTCTACCAGTCACGCAGTCAGTAGAGTCTCAGCATCAGTTAAAGTTACGATTGAGCTACAGCAGCACGGCAAGCAGCATTAGCAGTGTCCCAGTACATAGCATTAGCAGCCGGCTCCTCATGAGCTGTGTTCCCGCAGCAGTGTTAGCAGTGTCCCGGTACACATTTCTCCTGCAACAGATAATTAAGCATTCCTGCGATTGCAATGCAATTAATCATGCGGCCCTGGTATATATATATGTATATATGTATATATGCAGATGTATATGTATGTACATGTGGTTATATGGATATGTATGTATGTATAT